TCGATGTATTGAATGACGGAACGATGAACGAGAAGTGACAGGCATTTGAGGTTGTTATTTAACACATTATCATTGCAAAATGAAAACTATGTCCAAAATTCTTGTACGTAAAATTGGTATAGAGATTTGTGTTAATGTTCGAATGTTCTATTTCATAAATCGATGAGATATTATTCATAAAATATTCTTGTCAACAGAAACTCTAAATACAAATGTTTGCTCCGTTTCCCTATTATCTTTTTATTAACCCTTTACACTCGAAGTCATTTCAACCTAAATAATTTAATCTAAATTAATCTTTCCGACTTATGATATTTTCATTTTATGTGACAAAGTGCATTTTGTGCATATGAAATAGAGTCTTGTGACTCATACAACAGTTAGACTTTTAACAATTTTTTACAACTAAACTTTGATAATATAAAAGTTATCTTGGAACGTGATGTAAGAATTTTAGTGGTGCCTCAGAGTCACCACTCGAGTGCAAAGGGTTAATGATCCCGAAGACCAATAACGACCGACAGTCAAAATTTGACGTGCAGTACCCTGTCTCTCTTCCCCAAATCTTCAAAAAATTTCAGTTCATTAAGACAAGGGGGTCATATCGAGCCACAGCGATTTATCGAATTATCGGACATCGCGCAATGAAATCGTCAAAGTTGGTCGGTCTGCTTAGTTCCCCGACCCGTTAAATCCAGTGGTCCGGGTCACCGGTCGAGCAGGACACCCGTTGGATTCCTGGGCGCTCTTTTCTCTTCTCGGGGCTCCCTTCACGCTTCGTTTATACCATCGGTTTAAGGGTTAATCCCCCGGGCTTATCTGATCGCGTGACTTCGACGAGAAGTTCGAGCACGCCGCTCGCGCCGGGACAACCCCTCGCACACACAGCCCTCTCCGCCGCTAATACACGCGGTGGGTCTGTTAGTTTACACGGCTTACGCGATAAAATTTCCGTCATTAAGCGCGGACCCGGCCGTACGGCGTTCGCGCCCTGATAATGGACTGCGCGTTACGGTGATTTCCTCGTAAATACTTAAGCTCGATTTGCTCCACTTGTTACGTCTTCCACGGGATCTATCGGCAGTTAATACCCCGCGTGCCATCCACGAGGAAATCCCAGGCCTCGATCCCCTTTTTCTCGACCCTTCTCCAATCACTTCTTGCCGACCGCATTCTTTTTATCGATTGATTAAGGAACCTACGCTGTGCCTCGACGTGGCTCGCGCACTTTCAATTATCTATCGAAACGATTATCCGCGGATTTTCGTTTCGTAACGTTCACTTTTGTGGTCGCCGATTCACAGTGACCCATAAAAGTGTTCGTACATCTCTTAAAACGCAATTAGAACTGGACTTAAATGACTTGAAATTATTTTAAATGTTCAGTTTACTATACAATTACTGTAATTACTATAATTCTTGGAACGACAAAAAATAATAAGATACTACCGTCTTTTAACTCTTTTACCTGAGCTTGTGACAAAATCTTGAAGTATGCCTTTAGTTGTCGTTGTTATGAGTTACAATAAATTAAAGATCGCAAAAGTCACGGTTTTTGACACTTTCGACCACAAATTGAAAGAGAAATTTGCAGTTCTTAAAATTTTTCAACGCCATTTTTTAAATCGGTCATCTAAATAAAAATTCGAGTCGTTTAGCCCAGTTTTAAAAACGTTTTTACGTTTTAAAAGCCTTTGTCGACCGCTGTAAATTTTTCGTAGCGAATTCGAAGTTGAATCGAATTCGATATCTTATCTAGTACGATTTATTTTACTAAATATTGACCTTCATTCGTTCAGTATTTTCTTAACACTTTCTGAATACATAATTTTCACAAATAGATAATTAATTTAATTTAAATAATATAAATGTTTTCTTCGATAAACATAAAGTTAATTATGCTTGAAAGTAAACTAACAGATGGCCGATCCTGTAGTTGATTTTCGGCGCTCAGCGTGTTAAAAAATCAACGATGGAATCATTTTTCTCACGATCGAAGTGTTCGCAGAATCATAAAAACGTTAGTGTCAGTAGCCCCGGCGCACATACCAATTGGCGCCGTTTATTTGAAAGTTCCTCGAGCAGGATGATCCGGAGTGCTCGAAAACGATGCACACCGCGTGGGAGAGCCCGCGAACAATAAGTGCGATTACCTTAAGGCCGCTATTTCGCTTCATAATTTTGTCCCCGAGGATTTGCATTATGAAGTTCGTAATATAAAACAAGAGCGCTTGCGCGAGGAACGCGAGGCCGCGATAAATTCGATCATTTCAAAGTTGTACGCGACGGTGCGATTTTCCAGGGTAACTTTCTCACGAAAATTTATGCCGTCAAATGCTCAGAACAAACATTATTCGCGAGCAGATATTTCAAAGTGGAACTGGCGCCGGGTTTTTCACTTGGACGTTCCTTTCTCGTGGACATAAAAGTAAGCGGTTAATTAATTTGCCGCGCCGCGCCACGCCGCGGCGTTCCGTTCGTCGCCGTTTCTACCGTGAAAGTTAACGTTCTCGATAATTATTCACGTTAATCCACTTAATTTGCCCGTTCGCGAGACTCTCTCGATATTTGCAGAAGCAGACGGATGTTGCGAAATGTGTACACGCGGAAATATAAATTGTCTCCTCGCGTTTGTTCGCGAACAGTAAAAATTTTCGCGAGACCCGTCGACGCGGCGCGACGCTGCGGAGGGTATTAAATTCTTTGAATGGGATGCACCATGCTCCGTGCAGTATGCGGCTCCGTAGCATATCTATATATTGTGTTTCTTCGTTAGGGTTAATATTGTGCAGATGGGAGAATGTACGCGATCTCGGAGTGTATTTCCCAACGAATCTTTTTTCTTGAGAATCACATACGTGTTACGCAGCTTTTAAAACTTTTGGATTTATTAACAAGGTCGTGAAGTATTTCGGAGATACGAGTATAATACGTTACTTGTATTGTGCGTTAGTATGTACGTTCCAAATAGATCGGTCCATAAGTTTGCGTGGTATTAAATTGGATTTAAATTCACTGCATAATAATTGCTTAACAGTTGTCTTATACGGGATTCGATAGCTTTGGTATTCGTAAATGCTCATCCTTGTTAACTTGACACTCCATATATAGTTTTCAAAAAATTTATCATTTTATTACGAGTTTAATCGTACAGCAAAACATGTCAGAGATGTTCATTCTTGCCAACTTGATACTTCATAGAGTAAGGTGATTACAATTTAGATAATTCACACAAGTTTATAATAACTGTACTCGTAAATTAATAAATAAATAAATAAATATTTTGATGAATGTCTCGAGTAATGCGCGGCAGGCATAACGAAAGAATAGAGGCGTTTTCAATTATAGCGACTTCTTAAATTTTGAAGAGGCTTGGATGGATGTTTCTTAAAGTTTGTAGCGAAAGTTTGTATAGTTATCTAATTCGTGCGCAAGTGATGAATAATTTGCATTGGGCAAATTTACGATTGTTTGATAATTTTGTCAAATACTTGAGAACTTGTCCATAAATTAAGGTTAATTAAAAGTGGACGCATGTTAATCTCACCGGTCTGTTTATAATATGTAACGGGGCGAGTACGTATTTGCTTTTTAAATTACACTGTGATAACTAGGGCGTATTTATACGTCTACTTCCGACCGCAAACAAAGATATTTTAATCACGGTAATGGCTATGCTTACGTGAAGTAATTTGATGCCAGTGATTTAGAAGTTTCTTTTGACTGGCCAAGGAAACAATGGCTACTTTTTTTCTGTAATTATACTGAATTACACTGCGTGCTCACGCAGTGTAATTTTGCAAATATGATATATTTTTATATTATTATATATTTATGTCTTATTATTATACTTTCAACACGCTATCGCTTTCTAAAATTATAAGAAAGAGTGTTTTATGTAGTCCGACCCATATTTATAATACTTATCTTTATAAAATTGCAACTTCCTGTTATTCGGGAGATTAACGAATTATTTTCGCAGGGATTTACGACTTTTGCATTTAATAAGAATTTACTGTTTGAGAATAATGGGCCATACATGAAACATCTTTGTTCGGCAGCAAAACGAACACAACTGTTTCGCTCTCGTGAGTTATAGGGGCACAAATTCGAATTTGCACGGAAAATTAAACTAGACCAGACGATAATCATCAGTATTGCAAAAATAAGCTGCTTGGGCAATTGCAGCCCGATACACCGGCTATTACGCTCAAATTAATAATCAATGCTAATTGCCATTGTCATTAGGTGAACGACCATTATATGTTCCGAATAACTATGTCGTTCGATCTACTTTATTGCGTGCGGTTCGGTTTGCTGTGAATTTTACAGGGGTGAATTTTACAAGGTCCACGTAATTCGTGTGTAAAGAAACTTCTGTGTTCGCCGAAAATATTTTACGTCGTCCATAGCATGTCTTTATACTTCACTGACAATCTAATGAACAAGATTCAGAAGTTTTAACAAATCGTACCTCGACACTTTAGGTTTTTAATTTTCATATTATTAATAGAATTATTCCTTACGTTCCAACGAATTCCTTTTCCATTTGTTATTATTAGACAATAATTTTTATTATTATTAGGCAATACAGAATATATTGGGTGCAATACAAAACAACAGTAAATGTAGGGGGAAGATTTGCAATATTTTAAAAATACATATTTTATCTGTCTCCAGAAAACATTGTATAATTATTGCAGAGAAAATATTTATTTCCATCAAACAGGAACATACTTCAGAATATAATCGAAAATTCTCTGTTGTCGTCATCCGTTTAAGAGGATGTTTTTTAAAAGCAAAGAGTTACTGTAAAAGATTCTAGAGTAGAAAAAATACAGGACAAGCGAAACGAGGCGTATTGTTTTCTTATTTCTAACGAAACCAATCATCGATAATGATCCTAAGTACACCGATGAAGCGTCCGAACGCTCTCGGGCTTTGACGAAATTTTACGATGCACCTCGAGTTTTATCAACCCATTACCGGGAAAAACTCACCGTAAAGTCGAATGTTGCCCTCGGCACCGCCGATCGAGTTCTTCGAGTTGCATTTGTAACCACCGAGATCCTGTTTCTGCAGATTCATGATCACCAGTCGCATCTGAACGCTGTACACCGACGTCTTCGTCTCGGTCATCTGATATTTGTTGTTGCTAATTATCATCTCGCCTGCAAGCACAATTGCGAGAACGTTTTCAGTTGGACTCGTGGCGATTTCGATCAGAACTTACGAGACACGAATATTATTTAATTTCTTTCGAATCATTTAATTTATTTGTACTAGATTCTTTCATTAAACCGTTACTTATTTCTATTAGTTTCTTGAACCAGGTTCTTCCTTCAAATAATTAGTTATTTGTACTGGATTCTTTCTTTAAATAATTATTTATTTCTACTAGAGTTTTCCTTCAAACAATTAGTTATTTACATCAAGTTAATTTCCTAAGCGATTATCGTTGTTTTCAAAGAACTAGGTTCAAAAATATGGAGCAATTTGTTCAAAGAGATTGATAAGTCAATATTTGAATGATTATTACATTACATTACATGTACGTAATGTTTCTTACAAAATGAAATTGTATTCCCTCCACGATTTTTGTATTGAGCGACGTCGATTATTTAGGGTAATAGTTCGAATTCGTCGTGCAGTCGTTAATATTGCTGCTGACAACAATTTCGCAGAACAGCAATTTGACATATTAAAAGGGACACCGAGGCTTTTTAATTCCAAATAGAACATGGAAATGACGCGTTTGGAGCATTTCCTAATAAAAGCATAAAATGCGTACGTAACGCGAGCACGTATGCTTTTTAGTATATTGCCCTGCTCTTCCGAAACTTCGCTTTACGATATTGTTTCTAGAGCGTGCTTCTAATGCCCGGAACAATCTGTCCCAATTTGTGAGTCGTGTACCACGACACTCATCTTCAATTTTTCATAAATAACAAAAGCACTGGAACGAATCTATCACAAAGTACACGAATGTTCTCACTCAACGAACAAAAGAAATATTAAATATCAGCCAGCGCGTACGCAGAGAAAGCTTCGTTTAGGATTGAAGTGCCCATTTTCATTTTGCGAAATATTTGAAACCGTCTACGTAATCCCGGGGAAACACGTCGCAGCGCTGGCTCGAAATATAAAAGTTTAATATTTAATTTGTGTACTGAAAAAAAAATATACATAAAAGCGTTTGGAATAAATGAATTCGACAATCGATGAAATATTCGGCGCAGTATCGAATATAATTTTCTGTGCGCGTGACTTATCGCTGTGTGTGAACGGGCCGCATGCTATATCAAATATTGTATTTATCAAGAAATGAAAAAGCTGAACGGCGGCCGTTCATCGCGCGTGTTCATCGGTGAACATATTGATCCGTCGAACTTCAGTTTCGGACTCGGGGCGACGACGCGACCGCGACCGGTCACCGAAACAACCGATCAACGTAAACGAGTTTTTAAACGTTCGCATTTTTTGCCCGACCGCACGGACGGCTATAAAATAAACGGATACGGGAATAGTTAATTAAATCTTACCTGATTCGCGTGTCCAATAATTAATGGCCTTCGGGGAAGCTTCCACGAGGCAGACCAGCGTAACGTTGGTTCCAGTTGGTGCGCCAACTAGCTGGTTCGGTACTTGAACCATCGGGTGAACTGTAATTTATCGTGATACCATTAATCAATAGCCAAACATAAAGTATACGTGTACGTAATAATTATCGGCTAGACCGCGATTTGTCATTGGCAGTAATAGCGACCAATGGCACGTGCCGGACTGACATATTCCGTTAAAGTCAATTCGCGCAAATTACACACGCTGGAAATAACATCTAGGAAATCGGTTAATTGATTGCCACTACATTGTACACTGCAATTTTCTGTTGACTATGTCATCCGCGGAATAACGTTGGCCAGGTTAGAACTGCACTATTATTAACAGACTGCAGACTTCACGCGTTATGACTGCGTTATACGATGCGAGTCATTTAACTCTTTCGCCTTCATTTTTCTTGCAAACTAGATGTTTTATAAAAAGATCATTCGTTGTAAAGAGGAGCATATAGCGGCAGTAATTAATTTCTTGCTATTCTTCTTTTTCATCAAGATACGATGGTCGTCTCGAGTTTTTTTTTCACGATAACATGCAACATTTAATCATGCCATTCGAAAGTCTATTAAATGCGGAATAAAAGATGATCAAGATTTATCGAGATATTCTGTAGTTGTTGTTTAATCTGAGAACTGTTCAAATTATTGTCGATTGCAATGAATGCAAGCATATAGACGATTAAACAATGCGAGCGATTGCGAGCAATGCATACTTTGTCAAGTGAGCTTCGTATCTTGATAGAAGAGGAAAATAGCAAAAAAGTAATTATTGTCGCGTATGTTCTTTTTTATGAAAATCTTAAATGGTAGTAAAAGAGAATAGAAGCGATTTTTACAACAGTGAACAAATGTAAATAATAGACAAGTATCAGTGCATTTTTTTATTGCATTATTCAAAAGTAGACAAAATAAAATAATGAAAAGATCGGATATATCTTATCCGATGAATATAGGGTTAATTATGCCGAAAACAAAGCAAAGCGAAAAACAGCAATTAGTCAGCCCACAGAAACCGGCTTCGCTATCCTGAATCGAGGGAGAAGCGTTCGTCGCGTTCGACGGTGTCGCTTTAAGTTCGAAAGCGTCGCATGACAAGAGATTCTCGTTTTGCCGGGTTGAGACTGTTTGAGGAACAAGATTTGTTCCCGGTTGTAATGGCACACTATGTGCCGGGAGGGGAAGTGCTTTGCCGTGGAATAGTAAAAATAACAGAGATCTCGCGCCGGTGTACGTAGCAATGGTAGCATCGCGAGTTGCAATCACCTTACGAGGGATCTCATGATTTCCTGCCTTTGTGGAACCCATTAGCCGGTTGCGGAGCCGCGTAAATCATGATAATGAAATGATGACACGCCTGACAGTCTGTCATTTAAAACGAACCCCATTCGAGGCAAGCCAACCCCCCGGCGTAAGCACGTTCTCCGTCCCGAAGATCGTAAGCAGCTTTCCGTGAGCTGCTTACGTTTTAACAGCAACCCTCGATGGCCAGTTCTTTTGACCGGAAATGCGTTTGTCTCTGCATTTCGCGGCGGAATCAATACGAAAAGCTTATTGTGCGTTCAAACGGCTTATTTAATGATTTCACGTTTTCAAATCGGTCCGCCAGGAATTAACCTATTTCTGCTAATTCGGGGCACGCGTACGCGTACGCCTCGATCACAGTGCGTTCTAGGATTAGGTACGAAGTGTTTTGTCCGAATCACAAAGTCGCTATAATTTGTGTTACTAGAAAATAGCTGCACGAAAGGTCCATTATATGACCACAACAGAACCGAATTGGGTTAATACATTTTTGTACCCTTTTTATTTGAAGTCTATCTAGTCATTTTTTGGTGGAAATTCGTATTCGATTGTCCAGAGAGAGAGTAACGATGACGTTCAGACACTTTAAGATACAATGATATATTTACTAATGGACTAAATGGTTTACTACAGTGTATGTAAAAAAAATATTTGAAAATATTGCAATTGGTTGGAATGAAAAACTTTCAAAAGTTTCAAAAGAAGTAACTCGTGCATGCTGAAAATTGAATCGAAATCGGTTCACGTTGTTGCGAGCTGCGTCAGTCTTTTATTTTTTTTTGTCATTCCAATTATCCATTTTTGATAAAATTTTTGTAGAGACTGTTTAGTAAACTAGTCCCTTTAACATCCTAAGAAATCCAAATTATTTGGTCTAATTTAAGAAAACTCAAAAGGTGCTGAGTATCAACGTTACGCGCTGTATGCAGATTGTTTTATAAGAGATCTGAAAATCGGAAAGTGTTAATGAGAGCAAACATGGCGTTATATAAATAGTCTGCGGACCTTCATGTAAAATAAAAATGTATAAAACAAGAGTCAGATAAAAATCTATTCGTTCCTTCTGACAGTTTTAATCAATTGAAAATAACGTAAGAATATTCTGAAGTTCTTTCAATGTTTTCACTATTTTACGTTTCTTTTTGTCAATTTTTGCAATAAATGCGAAAAAAACGCAGTCCAGTCCTAAATCACGAAATCAGAATGTCGACGCGTTAAGGAAATCGCGTTCTGAGAATTTCTGCTGAGCGTTTCGAAAACGAATCCGGTCGAACGCGAATTTATTATTCCGCATACATCTTTACCCGTGTTTTCGGTGTCGTCGCAGTTTCGCCCGGCCAATTACAGGGCCGGATTACGCTCGGCTCATTAATCTAAACATCGAACCGAAACGACGCAGTCACGATCGGGCCACGCTAAATGAATACACGCGCTCGGAACCAATAGGATACGAGTGCGGAGATATAAAGATTGATTTACGAGTCCCATACGTCTGTAACAACATCGAAAAACTTTTAATTGCGCCGGTGACGTATTAAATAATTCTCTCAGCTAGCGCTCGGTTTCGCTGGGGAGCTTTGAACACGCCCAGAAATTGTTTAAACTTGTTACACGCCCGTGATCTGTGTAGACTTTCAAACTGGTAAGTAAGTGAAATTTTAAAACGCTCACTGTGTGTCCCGAAGAACGAGGTAGCTTGCTGTTTATGTAACTTCGAGTGCTCGCAGGCGTTGCCAGGAAATTATTTCTGCACTAAGTATACTGAAATTAACCATCGCACACTCCACAGAAGTGTAACAAACGAAATGAAAGGCGTGATGGAAACGACACTTAAAGACTACTGCGTTAAAGGCATGCGTTTTGTGTTTTGCTTCCGTTAGGTTCTTTTTGCCTATTTATCGCGTTACGTTAAGTTCTCCGTAATTGACGCTCAGATTGTACTCAAAAATGAATAATCGTATCTTTTCTTCCCAAATTGTCAATTTTTGTGCACAATCTGAACGTGAATTAGGGAGGATTTATTGTATATCCATTACCAATCTTAAAGTTACGGTCGCGTTTCTTTTACTGTAATTCGCGTCGAGTCTGGTTGCTCCTCGTGTTATTTTGGCACACGAAACTTATGCTAAACCATTTAAAACCAAAGTTATGTTGTCGGTTCGTGTTGCGGCGTCGTAAGTTCGCAGCAGTCTTATGGTTTTCAGAGTTTTACTGGACGCGGTGTACAGCAATGCAGTTAAAGCCGAAGCGGTTAAAGACCGATGGATTCAATTGTTTACTGTGCTTCGTGATTGTAAAACTACATCGTAGAGCGCGTGGGTGTTAAATCATCGGATATTTCTGCTTTGATGAACGATTCCGGGAATCTGTTTTTTTACGAGTTTCTCACGAAACGAGGATATTGATCATAAAATTGCAGATCTTCAGAGTTCTAGTACTAATGCAAGAATCGAAACAGAATTCTATAAAATTTTTATATCATTCGAAATCAACTGAAATGCCTTATCCATAAATAGTACAGGCAATATAATAATTATACTGTGCGGCCTCGTGCAAAATAAATATGTCCCAGTTTAGTTGCACGAAGCAGAACTTAAATGAAAGTATACAGGGTGGACCGGAATTCTTAGTACAACCGAGCAGAGGGTGATTCTAGGCAAAAAAGTAAGAAACAAATTTGGTATAACACCTTTTTATCCGGGGCTCCGTTTCCGAGAAAATTGGCTTTAAAATTTGTTCATCTTTCTAAAGGATTTAGTTAATGGAATGTTTCCATCATTGTCAATGTTTGTAAACATTATCTCGGACGGAGGCAGCTGCGGTAGAAGAATTCATGACAACTGAATCCTTTACAAAGATGAACAGACTTTAAAGTCGATTTTCTCGAAAACGGAGCCCTGGATACAAAAAATGTGTTATACCAAATTTGGTTCTTATTTTTGCTCGGTTGTACTAAAAATTCCGACCCATTCTGTATATAAATGTAAAATAATATCATAATATTTTTATCTCCGTTTTTATCTTAAATACATGAAATCCACAGTCTGCTGTAATTATGTACGAAATGAGAAAGAATATATGATAGAGTCTTCAGTATCACGTTCCCGTTCTTTGAGAATAAAGAAGTCGAACTTTGACTCCATAAAAGTTCAAATACGTGATCCACTTTATGCTTAATAACTGCCAGCCATTGTAAACGACGATTCAATGGGATTGTATCAATTTTAATGGTACCGCCTAATTATATCGAATGTATTACAACCGTCGTTCATCGTTCCCGGCCAGCAGCCAGTATAGCCCATAAGTATGACGTAGTCGTACAGTTAATTAATTGAATAGCTATCCATACAATTCGCGTGATAATGTAAAATACATCGCACAAGTAGAGTTTCACAACATAGTTATTGATCATGTTATTAATTCGCAATGAACGTGTACGCGGCCGGGAACATAGGGTGTCCGATTTTAATCTGTGAATCCAATCAACCTCCAAACCGGCCGTTATTCTAGTTTCTAGATACATATGTTCCAAGTGGAATGTGACCTTTGTTTTCCCCAATTTGAACTTATACGTTTTCGTTTAGTCCGGCATGCAGTGAATTCCGTGATGAATTATGAACATGTTCTCGGGTTTGAAGGTCAGTCAAAGTCAATACTATTTAAAACTTGTTAGATATTTCTGGAGTCGTTTTGTACATTCTACACGTAAATGATAATTCTGGTTTGCAGTTTGTTCTTTGTAT